GGACGCGGGACCGTTATCACTCTGGCAAGGAGGTTGATCCACTTAGGAACCACAGTGATCTCGACGGGAACGATGCACAAGGTTCGAGATGCAAAAATCGAATGTTGCGCGCTTGACAGGAACCGCTGCCTTCCTCCTACTGCTGCTAGTGCCGTTGCTACTGCTACCTGCTTACAAGCCGTCCGCAGAGAAAATGAGTTAAGGCACAAAAGCAGCGCTTTTTTATAACTTTTCAGATTCAAGAAGGACGATGTGCAACCAAATGGTACTCGATTATGACGACTGGGTTTGGGGAGAACGTTTATTTCATGAAAATAGTGATAAAATTATCACTTTTTATTTGAACATTTTTCAACAGTTTGTTTATGGAAAATTGAAAAAAAAAAGTATTTATTGTAGCAGATTTTGAGAGCTATTTCCTATCGATTGATGTATTTGGATTTTAATTTCATCTATAAATGACAAAGTTATAAGCGTTCAAAACCTTACACCTTTTCGTGACGGTCGCAATTTTAGATTTCCGATTTACCCCCAGTACCTTCCCGTAAGACATAGTCTACGTCATCCACCATAGAAATCCAGCTCTTTTCAATAAAACTCCTAAAATTTTGAGACTATCAGTTGGGGAAGGATATAGGGGATATTTTTTGAGGACCAATCCTAGCATTATTCAAACGAAGAAATTCTGACTTCTGCAAATTGAGTCGGATGTGAGCAAACCAGCTATAAGAATTAACAATTGAAAACAGTCGATCAAATTCCAAATCATTCTTAATAAAAACAGCTATATCTTCAGCATAAGCAATCACACTGATGAACTTGTCATAGACAAGCACACCAGGAATGCTGTCTGCAATTTGTCTTAACAAGGGCATCCCTGACGAACCGAACTTTTAATTTTAATTTCTTGAGAAAGAAACCTATTAATCAAAATTCGAGAGGAAGCACCCTTGTAAATGTTTTTCAAACAATCAACAAAAGTTTGCGGAAACCCAAATTTCCCTAAAACCTTCCACAAGTAATCTTGATTTATTCTGTCAAAAGACTTGCTAAGATCTAAACTGACTAAGCATCCTTTAAACTTTTTAGTTTCATACGACCAATCACGACCAAATTTCGAGACCAATCTTCTCACGTCTTTCAAGTTATTCACACATGACATATTCGAAACACACGCAGTTTGTCCAGGCCCTAGCAACTAACCAAGAAAATTCATAATTCTTCCAGCAATAAGCTTCATAAAAAGTTTGTAGTCACAATTTAGCAAACTAATGGGACGATAGTCATCGAAAGAGGATCTGCCACTGTTATTCTTGGGAATTAACGTAATAACGCTTTCTGAGAAAGACTTTGGAGGATAAATTATTCCAGCTAAATATGAATTAAACATATAAACTAAATCATCTTTACAACTATCGAAGTTATTCAAGTAAACCTCATATGTAAGCCCATCGGAGCCAGGAGATCTTTTTTTTTATTACAACAGAGAAAAACAGATCTTAATTCCTCTTCCGTTATCTCCTTCATCAAATCAACACGATCGTCATCTGACAGAAACCTATTGATATGATTCAATGGATCATCCGAGGGGGACGACTCTATCTACGATGCAGGAAAGATTGTGTTTTGTTGTGGCTAGCTGCGTGCACGCAGAGTAGATAGAAAGAAGATTGACGATAATTCTGAAGATTTCATGCAAAAAGATGATGCGCGATGCAAGTAGATGCGAGAAATGAAAGAAAATTTTTCCAAGATTGATTCGCTAGTTGGAGATTTGTTAAGCATCTAAACTTGAGATTTAGATGTTTCGTCCTCCTCGGGATCATCGTCAGGCAAGTTCTGAGTGAAAAATCGCAGAAAATATTTGGGGTTTGAAGATAAAATGTTACCATTTCGAATTTTGATGCTTCCATTACTTTGAATTCGTTTAACCTGAGCTGCAACCTGAAAAATGTTCATCATTACATCCTGCATACGACTGAATCTTTCAAAATTAAAAGATAAATTTCCAGATCTTGAAAAAAATTATTTATCTGTCAAATCCAAAAGAAATTTTCTTTAATGGTGAAAATGTTCATGCAAAATTTGGGTTGTTTAACTTCGAAAAATATACGGATTTTTATAAATTATCTGATTTAATTAGAAAAATCCGATTTTTCTGTGGTCACTCTAAGTTAATTGTAAAAACCAGTATAAAACGTGCACCATTAGAGATATAAAATTACTTTCTTCAGCAAAGTTGCTTCAAATTAATACACAGCAAAAAAATAATTTTGATATCACGTCAAAGTGGATGCACTACAATCATGTCGAAAATATGGTGTAATATTACTTGCTAAAAAGGACAAAATTATCATTAATACAATGCATGAACTGACATTATGCTGCTTTTACTGCATTTGTTTATTTATGTGGTTATAAAAATTACATGAAATTTTCGACATGATTGTAGTGCATCCACTTTGATGTGATATCAAAAATATTTTTTTGCTGTGTAGTTCTACAACTTGTGCTGGTCTATCTCAAATTGTAAATTTAAAATAGGGTGGTCACCATGATTATTAAGTTCAAAATATCGTATATATATATTTCGTTGATCATGGGCCTTAAAAATCTAAATCTCCTGAAAATATCCTCCAAGAAAATATTTAAAATTTCTGGAATATGGAATTTTTAGAGTTTTATTACTTAAAGAATTTTACAATTTATGTCAGGGACCCCAAGTTACCAAAAGGCTATTTGTGGCTTAAGCAGCTTGGTTGAAGGTGGTCTATAGAATTCTAAGCAGCTTCTTTTTTAAGTCGTTATAGGAACTTGAAAGTTTCGGTAGAAGAGCATTCTAAGCAGCTTCTGGCGGAACTTTAACGAAACTTTTAGAAAATAAGTTAAAAAAGGCTTTTGTCCTCTACACCAATTTTATATTTAATTCGCACTTTTATGAAAGTCAGGTCTCTATGAAAGTTATTTCTAAAGGCAGGTATGAACGTGTATTGATTTATCAACATTAGTAGTAGTATTGGAGCTGTTTGAAGAATTATTACCCAGTCCTTCTGCATGTGAGCCCCAGCACAAACCGCTACGTCATCTGAGATATATTAAAGTGAACTGTTGTCCCCCCTACTGTTGGAGTTTTCAGTGCCAGCTGACTGACTTGAATACGAAACACAACACCTTCATGAGTTTGAAATCGGTGTTTGCCCGCATGGCATTCCAACACATTTGTGGCGCAGTGATTAGCGTTCGTAGATCGCATGCCGAATACACGGGTTCGAATCCAGGAAATTGCTCTTTGTTTGGATGGAATATTGATGCACTGTATAAATATAAGAATTACAATTTATTTGAGCCACTGATCATTTCATATTTACGTACATTAATTTTTGGACCTAAGACTTGTGCGCATTGCTTAATGTGGGCTTTGACGGACCTTTTTAGAAACTTTCAAGTTGCTAAGAAATTCCGCAGGGAACTTGCTCGGAACTTTGTTATGAACATATTTTCAGCCTTGCCTGAAGTTCCTAAGAAGTGCTTAGGGATGCTTTACGAGTTGCTAGGAGTACGCATCGGAACGTTTTGGGACCTGAAGTTCCTCGTGTGCTTACTATAGCTTCTAAATTAGCCAGAAAGATGTGTTGGAACTTTATATGCACTTTATGGAACTTTTATCGTTGAATGCGGAACTTTTGGTTGCTTGGGAAGAAAGTACTGTCAGAACGTTATGGAACTTGAAAGTTCTGTCGGAACTTTATTTGAACTTTATGGAACTTGAAAGTTCTGTCAGAACTTTATTCGAACTTTATGGAGCTTGAAGGTTCTGACGGAACTTTATTTGTACTTTGTGGAACTTGAAAGTGTGTTTTATCGTTGAATGCGGAACTTGTAATTACTTTTTCTCTATATTTTGGACGTTTAAAAAAGAGAACTGTGGAGGACTTCAAGATTTTTTAGGCATCCTGGTCGTCGTAAAAGTTCAAAAATCCAAGAGCTTGGGAAATTTTTCTAGATTATGAGACTTACATTTTTGCAGAGATTTACACCTGCAAGCATATCGGCATTTTATTTTGGTGGATCTCAGTGAAAAACTTGCCGAGATTCAGCTAACAAACGGGAATTTTGCCGATATCTGAGCTAACAAACATAAATTTTGCCGAGATCTCAGAAAAAATAAATGCCGAGCTGCTCGGTGGTGCCAATCTCGGCAAAAAAAACCAAGTGTGTTGGGATGTTTTGTGAGGCCTTGGGCTTGAATACGCTTTCGGGATTAAGTAAAGAATAATAAAATATATCTAGCAGAATGTTTGAAATCTCAGACATAGAAAAAATGTCATGTTTCCGTCATGACACATACACAATTATAAGTTCATTTCATAATTTTAATCCGAACAAATGTTGATGGTACCGGAACTTCGCCAAACCTCCCCTCCCTAAACTTCTACGTAGCCCCTAAAATAGCTTTTGAGTGTATCAAGAAATACATTCGTGTGATATCATTCCCAAATTATAGGACCCTTCTCACAGTATACAATTCTCTGTAATGTACTTATCCAAGTCAAGCAGACGAATCAGTACGATCGTCTTAGTATGCATTGCTTTCAATTCTACATCTAAAAAGGTTCCTGCAATTAACGGTCCCCTTCTTATTTACCTACAATTGCATTTACTCTTGACGGTACATACAAGGTTCTGCATCACGGACAGGTAAATCTGGTTTCATATTGAAAATAGCTTCGGGGAAGACATTTTTCCCACGGTTTCCTTTTTTCCCTAATTCATGCACCCTTAACATCACGATAGATACCTCTCAAGTAGGGGAGATTAGAATGCCATCTAACAAATTCAATAAACTTTTTCGGGTGCTAAATTCTAGCCTACGCATCAATCAAAAATCTATCTTCAATAACACTAAACTGCATTTCTACAAACTTTGTCCATACATAAATAAAACCACAAACAGTTAATCCGAGAAGTTGGTCACATCGTCACGTATCACTTTCACTCACCTGGAACGTCGTTAAATCTCTTCAGTTTTGCCTTGGAGAACATTGGAAACAGTTTGACGAATCGATTTGACTTGATTGGGAAATTATAACTAAGCTGACTGTTTGTTTTTTTTTTCTTTATTCGCTTTACAAAACGGTAAACGTAAAATCAACACACTAAACTTTGGAATAAACTTTGAGAGGGTTGTGTTCGTACGATAAAATTAATTAAATAAAAAAAAAAAACTTTGTCAATAACTCATTGCATAACAACAGCAAACAACTTCGAAAAACTTAAAACACTCCTACGCAATTTATCCAACACCGAAAAACAGTTCCCTAACGTTTCTTTCTTTCGTTCCTTTCTCATCAAAAAACCCGAAAAACATTCGCGCCTATTCCATAACGGTCGTTTTGGTTTGTTCCTCGCTGCCTGAATAGAGACAAATCTTTCAACCCTGACCAGACCACGATCTTCGACGTTCCTTTCCGATGGTTTCACTTGCAATGAAGACCCCGGGCTGGAATCCCACGGTAAGATCCCCTCTTTTTTCAGAAAATCATAACCGCCAAGCCAGTCAACACTCACACAACGACGGTCGCATCATCCTGCGAATGTTTCCTCCGTTTCGGTCGATGACTGCCTCATCAAGCTCCCAGCAGGACAAGGAGAAGAAAAAGAAGGGAAAACCCTTCTTCAAGACGAACCGTTGTTTTCTTGCTCGGGTCTTACTGGGTAATCTACTTATCGGTTCATCCAGCTGAGCCGTGCGTCGTCGGAGGCTATAAAGAATATGTGCAGAAAAAAACGTCGTCCTTACGTTGCGCACATACACTTATTACTGTTGCAAGGGTGTGTGTTGGTTTAAATATACATATGTATCCTTGTGACTCGTGCCGCTGGATTCCCTCTTGCATATGTACTCTGTCTGATGTGGTGTGCCTGACAGACCGTAACGGTTAAATAAGCTATAGGTACGAGCAATTGAATGAGTTACACTGTAGTGTGAATTTAGTCTTTTTTTTTCTTAAATATTGATGATTATTTTTCAAAGTTAAATAAACTATCGAAAGTAGGAAGTGCTGCTAAAATTAGTTTATAACATTTTTGCTTTGTATACGTTGTATATGCAAACTTCCATATTTTTGCATAGCAAAAATGTTTCTTACTGTTTAAAATTTGCATATAAATTCAATTTTAAAAGTATCAATCAGCTTTAACGAAAATTCAGTGCCAACATTTCAAAGGGGCGTAATTGCTTTTGTAAACAATGGCTTTAGCTGTCGATTTCTCGCAACTGAAAGCTCACCTCTTCAAATTAACAATGGTAGAGGAAACATTTCCCTACTTGGTGGTGTAAATAACTTCCATGAGTGAGCTTTTATTCATGAGAAATCGAAGGCTAAAGCCATTGGTTACAAATGCAATTACGCCCCTTTGAAATGTTGGCACTGAATTGTTTAATCTTTTATTCTTCAGATTGAATCTGAGACGACAATGATTTCACAAGAATGACAAACAAAAGAAAAGGATCCATCAGCTTTTGAACAAACCGTTCTAAAGCTCTTTCCTCACAAATCGAAGGCCACCCACTTTCCCCTACCCGATTTGTGAGGAAAGGGTTTGTTTACAAATACTGATGGGCTCTTTTCTATTGTTTCTCCGGAAACATCTCTTTATTGATATTCAAGCGAACAATGAATTAGAAAAGGCATTCGAGTTATAACAGTAGAACAATTCCCTACGAATTCGCAAATCGGTTAATTTTTGTATTTTTTGATTTGGTTGAAAATTTGCGGAAACGTCCCATTTGATGACATTTGATGACATTTTTTATTTATTTGTCTGCATCAACAGGCTGTGTATAGCCCCAATGATGATTTAAGTAACTTATATAGGTAAATCAAAAAATAAAAACTAAGAATAAAATACATAAATAAAACACACAATCATTCACGGTTAACTGTGCCAGAAAAGAACGATGAGAAGTATCTTCGTAGCAGCTGTCGAGGCATATGGAAATCGAAGATGCCCGAGACTCGATTGAACACTCGTTGCAGCCCACCTATTGCACCGTTCATGCCATAGTTTGTGCGCTGAAGTGGCAATCTCAGCATAACGTTGTTACGTAGCGCACGTTGTTGGACGTTAATGTTGACTTGCCCCAAGATTGCACTGCAATCAATTCTACCTTGTAAAGTGTCCGCAATGAACAGGGCCCTAGAGGTGTCTCTTCTAGTTCGGAGAGGATCCAGATCAATCAGCTGGCAACGACTTTCATAGCTGCACCATTGTTGTAGTTTGGACTCCAGACCACAGAACAATATTCCAGAATGGATCGCACCAAGGAACAGTACAGTGACTCCAAACAGTAGATATCGGAGAAATTCTTTGCTATCTTGAAGATAAATCCCAATGTCCTAGACGCCTTGTCGACAACGTACGAGATGTGCTGCTTGTACGTAAGTTGAGAATCCAGAATAACACCCAGATCTTTCACATGGTTCACACGGTCGATTACAGTGCCGATAAGTTTGTATTCAAATGTGATTGATTCTTTCTTCCGAGTAAAAGTGATCACTGAACACTTAGTGGGGTTAACCACCATTCGGTTCAAATTACACCAGCTGGCAAAGGCTTCGAACTGACGTTGAAGGAAGTGACAGTCATCAATCGAGCGGATTCGTAGGTAGATTTTAAGATCGTCTGCATACGATAGTCGTGGGCCTTCGATGACCAAGTTCACGTCATTGAAGTAGAGTAAGAAAATCAAAGGTCCCAGGTGACTTCCTTGAGGTATTCCTGACGTAGCTACATAGATATTGGACTGGTTGTCACCAATGGCAACCATCAGTTGCCGATCAGTGAGATATGAACGAAACCATCGCAAGAGGTTGCCGCTGACCCCAAGTCTATGCAACTTGGCAATCGCGATGGCATGGTTTAGCTTATCGAAGGCAGCTGACAAGTCGGTGTATATGACGTCTGTTTGAGTCCTCTCTGTCATGCTTTCCGTAAGATACGATGTCAAACACAGCAGATTTGTGGAAGTAGAACGACCGGAAGTGAAGCCGTGTTGATCACCACTTAGATACTGCTTACAATGAGAGAGTAGAGGCTCCATGATGACTAACTCGAATAACTTCGAAACTGCACTCAACGACGTAATTCCACGATAATTGTCCACATCCCGTTTTTGTGGATAGGAAACATATGTGCGAATTTCCAACAAGATGGAAATGTACCACTCGAGATGGACAATCGAAATAGGTGAAGCATGGGCATCAGCAAGCTGGCGATATGCTTTTTCAGGAATACGGATGGAACGCCATCGGGTCCTGGATTGAAGGACGACTTGAGTTGTGATGCGGCAGTGGAAATCATCTCGACGTTGACATCCATCGCACCCAGTGTTTGACCTACAGTGGAACATTACTAGCTGCTAGGGTAACGTGTTCGTCAGTTAATCTCTCATTCGTGAAAACACTGGCGAACTTCTCAGAAAACAAGCGACAGATCTTCTGAGGAGTGGAAGCAACTGCTCCATTCAACACCATTGAAGAAGGTAGGCCGGATTCCTTGCGCTGCTCATTTACGTAATTCCAGAATGACTTCGGGTGCGACTTGAGTTTCCTCTGAATCCCTCGTTGATATCGCGAATAGCATCGACGGCTAACTCGCTTAAACTCATAAGCCTAACGTAGTGACGTTTCAGCGAAAGCGTACGATACTTAGTGAATTTTCTTAATGCGGCTCTCTTGGTCGACTTCAACCTACACAGTTCACTCGTCTGCCAGGGAGGATGAGAAATTTTACGGTGAACTCTTTTCGGAACGTGCCTGTCAATGACATAAGCCAAGACATGTGAAAATGTTTGCGCAGCGGTTTCAACATTATCAGGATCGAGGATGCTCTCCCAATCTATACTAGAAAGCACGTTGACGATACTACGGTGATCGGCTTTCCGGAAATCGTATAACACGGTCGTGGAAATGTCGTCAAAGACCCGATCGTGATTGTCAGCAACAGTGACAACCAAGGGAGGGTGATGATGTACTTGTTTTACTAGTAGAGAAGGTGCCGTGGAGATGAAAGGAGCGGTGTCCTGAACGCTAACGAAGCAGAGGTCCAGGCTACGGTTGTTTTCGTTGACTACGTGGTTTATTTGAGATAGTGTTGCTGTACTATAGCAGTCGAGAAGGCTAACTGATCCTGTATGAAATACAGAGTGTACAGGGTCTGGGTAGAGAAAGCCGCTGTAAGATGGTTTCCAGGAAACACCGGGTAGATTGAAGTCACCCAGAACGATTATCTCATCAGTTGGTGTCGCACTCTCCATTATGGTGAAAACGGACCGGCAATGGGTATCGATTAGTTCGTTGTCACGAACCCGGTCAGGTGCAATATACACCGCACATAGGTACACAGTGTGCGATTGCTCAGTTCTACGGCCACCCAAACTTGTTCCACACAGTTCCACAAGACGTTTTCAATAGCTCTCGCCTTTAACCCGGAACGAACTGCCACGAGAACACCACCTCCAGTAGATTTCCGACTGTTTTTCGGATTTCTGTCACAGCGGAAAACCTCGTATTCGGATCCGAACACCTGGATGGAAAGTGTTCGAGAATCGAGCCAAGCCTCGACAAAAACGATGACATCATAGCACCGGTCCGATACAGCTAGGTGGTAGTCAAGAACATCATAATTCATTCCGCCTACGTTTTGGTAGTAGAAAATTACGTCGTGTTTACTACGGTCGGTGGTCGCACGAGGTAAGGCGTTTTCCCTGGAAGTCATGGAAACATCAGGTGCCGAATGGACATGAACAATCTCAAGTGGATACTCGCCGTAGTGAGTAGGTTGGAAGACCCCCTCTCCACATCAAACCACAGGCCCGGAACGACTATGAAGATCGGAGGCGGCAGATGGCAGGACTGGGTCAGAGGGATTGGGGGCTTCCACAATGCTTTCTACAGCGCGTCCCAGGTTCCAATTAACAGGAGTAGAAGCATTTCCTCGATCGGTGACATCCAGAGTGCTGAAATTCAACTCGGCATCAGGCAGCGAATGTTCAGAATAATATTTGTACTTGCCTGACATAGCAAGTTGGAAGACCCCCGATCCACATCTAAGCTCAGGACAAATTTACAATAAAAAAGCACCTCAGTAAACTTTCTCTAAGTCGCACCGTTTTCGAAATGTAGCGGTTTGAAAGTAGATATGTTTAAATGTTGGTAGTTTCTGGCCATTTTTAAATGTATTTCGCGGTTCTCCAGTTCCTAAAATATTTTTTTTTCCGAAAGATCTGAAAATTTAACAATGAAAATGCTCTTGGTGGCTCATCGATATGATCTAAATTATCCGGAATGTGTATGTTTTAAAACAATTTACTTTCTTGTAAATACATAGTTCGCTCGTTAGCATATGCAAAGAACTTAAAATTGTGATTTTTCGAGAATGATTTCATTTATTTTTACATTGTTAGATTGATATAGTTGTAATAGAAATCCATACTTTAATTCTTAGT